TCTCTCTCTCTGCAGGAAATTTAATTGTTTGATAATAAATGTAGCTGGGGTTGGGTGCTATTTGATTATTATATAGCCCAATTTTTGGGTTTTTAATATTATTATGATTAGGGTTTTGTTAACGTATATTTTAAGATTTCTCATTGTTCTTCCACCGATTTTTGCATTTAAATACCTTTGCTAACAAACAAACTCCCTGGGAATACTCAATTCGATAAATTAGAGACGAAGGATCCAAGGGAATAGATAGTTCGCCGGCCGGAGCTAGGAGAATGAGCGCGTCGAGGTTCATAAAGTGCGTCACCGTTGGCGATGGGGCTGTGGGTAAAACTTGCCTTCTCATTTCCTACACGAGCAATACATTTCCCACTGTAAGTATTCGTTTACTTTTCGTTCCTTTTAAATTACCATTGCCTTTCTCTATGTATCTTGGTTCTGTGGGTCTTGTTTACTGTTGCTTGAATTCGTGATCGATCTACGATAAGTCTTCTATTTTCTGGCTTCAGGCTGCTTGATTAATCTATTTTAGTTTAAGAGCCAAATCCCCACTTCTCTTGCTAGAAAATGGGAAAAGACTATTTCTTGGACTGAAACAAACAACGGTAATTATCATGCGGGAGGGTTTCGTGTCTTTTCTTTTTCTTCGACTGGGGAGAAATGATTGATTGGTGAAAAAAAAAAGGGACCTTTGCAGCAGTCTGATTCTTGAACCACTTTCCTATGCTGTTAGATGAAAAGAGGTATGATCATAGGGACCAGTGTTGCTTCCCTTACTCAACATAGGGCCTTCAAAAGAACTGTACCTACTGTCCCAAATCAGGATAACACCACCCCCCACCCCAGTTAACTCTTGAATGGCTATCAGATCATGGTCAGGTAATTCTAGGAAGGCACTTTGTAAAGCTTGACGAGGAGCTAGAAAGAGCCCACTGAAGCAATTTATTCAGAGTAGTTTGGCGTTTGATGAATGAATGAATCCAATGTTAGTATACACTGTTGCTGGATAAAGTAAACACTGTTCCCTTTTTATACACTTCTTGCTGGAGGGTTTGTTAAGGAAGACAAAAAGGGCCGATGAAGGGGGGAGAATGAAAATGTTTTCTGTTCTCCCCTGTGCTCAAAGGGTGCTTGTGGAGGTGTGTACCATAATAAATGAGTACTTACGGATTTCGAAGAATTTTTCTATTTGGGTTATGTTTGGAGTGTCCAAATTTTTGCACTTGTGCACCCTAATGCTCGATTGAGAAGTGTTTGTGGGTTATTTAACGACTTGTCAGGGTAAGAAAATATATATTTGCACATCACATCTTTGGTCCTTCTGATTTTTTATGGCTTTCTTGGTTTTAATTGAATATGTTAACAATATCTTGAACCTTTTTGGATTTCTGGAAAAAATTGTCCTAAAAGGAGTTTAGCTTCTTCCGTCCCTCCCACCCCTAAAATCATTCATGACATTTATGAAGACAAGATGTCTTCTTGTGTGTCTCTTTGTTTCTTAGAAGGTGAAACGATGAAGTAATATACAGCAAGGGAAGGGTGAATCATGGGATTCATTCTGTTATGAGAGAGCTCTCTTCCTTGGGATCTTTTTGCAAATCTTAATCAAGTTTTGTAAATGCCACCGAAAGTATATTTGGAAACTGTGACCATGCCACTTGAAATACATTGTGCCTGATGCCTGTATTGTAACATGTTTTTTAATTATAATATTTCTTTGCTTATGGCACTTTCGTTTTGGGCTGGAAAACTATTTCATTATCTCTTGAACACCCCCCCCCCCCCCCCCC